AAGCAGAGATTCGAATGATTTGAAGGTAAGCTAATGGGGTGTGGCAGCACAATCCCTAAAAAGCTGTGGCCGCCACCAAAATGTTTTTTGATATAGTTAATGGGGCGTGGCACACGGGTTGTGCCACACCCCATTAACTATATCAAAAAAACATTTTTAGTGAAACAGTATTTATATGAGTCGATAGCCTAAATCTCGTAGATTTCACAGAAGTGATTTGAGCCTGATTTGTTTTCTTAGCTCTGAGTAATATCTGGTGAAAGCACATCCATCAAAAGCGAAAATTGGAAAAACGAAATCTTGGTTGGCTTCTAATTCCACAATATGGAGGCCTTTTCTAACGGGATCTGTGAAATGGACAACAAAGGAGTAGTGCTTTGTCTTGAGTGCAAAAATGGGTAGCTAACTCACCTTTCAAACAAAGTTAATCATGTTAGAAATTGACCATTTCACTTGAGTGGCCTAGTATTAGGTTGTTACATAAGTCTTGTTACACTCTGGTTACTTACAGAGATAAGTCCTACGCTTCACATTTTCACTAGGGCTTCAGGGCACCGTTCAATAGAGCAAAGCAAGCCCTACAAGATGGCATGCGCAGGTTCGCACAAGCTTCGACACGCCGCAAGTTTGGAGCAGAAATGCGAGTTGTACTCAGTGCTCAAAAAATCGAAAAATTTTATATCTTTGTTCAAAAACATCCTAAGGATTTCCCGCTTGCTCAAGTGGATAGCACTTTACATCAGACATTCATATGCACAGTTGCTGTATTTTTTGCATAGCTAGAAGTCGAGAAAATCGAAATTTTTTACTTACACAAAAACGAATCTATTCTGTTTTCACACATGTAATTGTTTACTACAGGCCTTAAGAAATATAAACGTAAATTTTCAGCCTTTCATAAGATCTAATTTTCGAGAAATGTTGATTTCAATAAGGAACGCCCGGGCTGAAGAGGGCTAAATTCAATGTATCTCGAAAACTAGCGCTTGTGCGAAGCTAAAAATTTACGATTTTACTTCTTAAGGCCTGTAATAAACAATAACATGCGTGAAAACAGCATAGCTTCGTTTTTGTGTAAGTAAAAAATTTCGATTTTCTCGACTTCTTGCTAAGCAAAAACAGCAACTGTGCATACGAATGTCTGATGTGAAGCGCTATCTACTTGAGCAAGCGGGAGATCCATAGAATGTTATTGAACAAAGATATAAGATTTTTTCGATTTTTTGAGCACTGAGTACAACTCGCATTTCGGCTCCAAACTTGCGGTGGGTCGAAGCAACTTGTAGAGCTTGCGTTGCTCTATCGAATGGTATCCTAAAGCCCTATTGAAAATATGAAGCGTAAGACTTATCGCTGTAAGTATACAGAGTGTAACAAGACTTATGTAACAACCTAATATCTTGAATTTTCAGGACCTGCACAAACTTTGTCTATAGGGGCTAATTGACATGCTAATTATGGACATGTTGCCCGTTATGTGACAGGATCTTCAAGTAATGCTATCTTAGATATATAGTTCAGGGGGTCTTATGGAGACAGCAATCAGAGGGGGGGGGTCGTAACAAGCGATCGTGTGCCACACCACTTGCTTGACCCTGCTTAGGCACTACACTAGTCAACGAAACGATAGATTGATGATACGAGCTCGAACACGGTTGCGTTGAACATCTGCTCCGGACGTTATTAGGTTGAACCGAAAGTTCTGTTGTCGTTTCATTTTCAAAAATTTGTGACTTCACGAGATTTCAGCGGATTTTCTTGCTTGTAATTTTATTAGAAAGATTAGGTCTTCCGCTTTCAAACGCTGTTTTATGGAACTTCTCTTTCACACTGGATGTGGAGATAAAAATGGAAAACTATGAATGGAAAACCATATAAGCTTTGACCATTTTGAGTTAGGTCACCAAAAATCTGGAATGCTGCAGAAAAATCTGAAATCCTCAGTACATATGTTTTTTGGCCTACCCTTTGCAACAGTGAAGAGCTTGTGCTGTTTGGACGTCTCTGTGAGAAGTCATGAATATCGAGTTTATTATGGAAAACGCCAAAATTAATTAATTTGTCAATTTTCGCGAAAATCGTAACTTCTCACAGAGACGTCCAAACAGCACAAACTCTTCACAATTGCAAAGAGTAGGCCAAAAAACATATGTACTGACGATTTCAGATTTTTCTGCAGCATTCCAGATTTTTGGTGACCTAACTCAAAATGGTCAGCTTATATGGTCTTAGTTTTAGATGTTTATCTCCACATCCAGTGTGAAGCAGATGCTCCACAAAACAGCAATTGAAAGCGAAGACATAATTTTTCCAATGAAATTACAAGCAAGCAAATCCGTTGAAATCTCGCGAAGTTACAAATTTTTGAAAATGAAACGACGGAACTTTCGGTTCAATCTAATAGATACCTCTGTTAACGATCAGGTCAAAACGTTAGACCGTTGACTACTAGTGAACTACTAACCTCACTCTGTTGCTAACCTAGATTCAGAGTATCGAGGTTTACGAAAGGATAAAGTATTCTTAGTAGCAATGCCTTTTCTATGAAATGGTCAATCGTGACGAGATATATGTTGCAGAAGTCGGTGACAAATGCTGATCACAAAATGGCATTCCTTGAGTGCGGGACATTTGTAAGAGCAGTGCTCTTTGCGCTAGAAAGCTATTGCAATCCCACAGTATCGGAAAGTTATAGGATGCCATCGTCCATCTTATAGGGACGGCGATTCTGCTCTAGGAAATGTCGAGCTCTGTTGGTGCGATAACAAGTCATACAAAAAGAACTCGAAATCATTTACCGATTGACGTCCCAACAACCAGCTCCTGTCCCTTTAATGCCATGCCTCCCACACGCCGCCGCGGTGGTCCGCGGTCCCGTCTCAGGCTTCTCTCCAATGCTGCTGGATTAACTGCCTATACATATTACTTTAAATAAGCTTTTTATGTGTTAATGCGTCACCTCTGCTTCGCAAAGGCTCGCACTGGCTCTACTATCTATATGCCATACCATTCTCCGCATAACATGGCATTCAAACATACCGTGCAATGCCCGCCTTCACGAGTAAGTCGTAAACAACTACTCATTCCGCAAGCTTTTTCGTCCGAGATCGGTATTTTGCGTGGATGAAACATTGGAAGATGATGAACAAATGCAGTTTAAGAACACTTTTGAAATTTTTCATGCTTGGTAGTCGCGATTAGGATAATATCCAAGGCGAGCTACATCCCTGTGCAAAAATCTTCTTAAATAGTCAAGTAAAAACCTGGCAAATTGACAATTTACGCAAATAATTCGTTTTGGCACCTTTTTCGTGGAGTGATAGACTTCCATCACTTTTTTTGCGCTAAAGATCATGGCTTGCACATTCACTTGCAAATCATAATCACGACTTTGCACAAGTGGTAATACGGACCCAATATAGCGCGGCAGACGTCAAGTGCATCCGTTTGGAGTGCTATAGGGACCTACTCAGTGGATCTGCTTGTGCTTTGACATGGTGAATCTGGGGTGGCAGTGCGTGTTGTGCAAAAAATTGCGGCTTGAAACCTGTTATGTCAGAGCGGAAGCAGAGAAGCCTTTATCCGAGAGAGAGCAAACCAGAAGAATAAGAAGTACGACTGTCACGATTATATATATCTGACTTGTTGACATAAACAGATGAAATATCGTATCATATTATTGAGCACATCATTCCTCAACACCTCCCTCCTAAAACAAAGAATATCCATATGTCTCTTCTGAGGATTAGCATATAATGGGTGGGGGAACGAAAGCCGCCAGGTCCAGCCGCCTCCGCGGACTGCTGGTCCTGGAACGACATGCAACAACGCTGCGAAAGGACCAGCTGGCCGCGAAAGGCGGCTGGACCTGGCGGCTTTCGTTCCCCCACCCGCATATAATTGATCAGGCTGCTTTCGGTGTCAAACTGGATACTTCTCAGAAGTTGACGGCTCCTTCGGTGCTGGTGACAGTGTAGATAATATAGGCATTTGCTCGGCATATCTGTAACAAAGTATTGGCTTCTTGTTCTTCTTCTAGATGTAAGTTCGTTTCTTCTTTGGCCTTCATTGCACTTCACATTTTCACTGCGCATCTGATTGGCATGTCTTCTCCAAAGAAGCTTATTTTCCGTCTTCGCATCGTATAAAAGTTTTACTTCTTCCGCTAGTTGTTCAGTTAATGGCGTAGGCTTCATTCTGACTGGTCTTCTCAAGAACGATTTATCTGGAGACCGGCCTACAGGTGGCAAGGCATTTAAAGTTGGCCGATTCTTCTTGACAATCGGAACACACACAAACACACACACAAACACACACGCAGACACACACACAAACACACACACAAACATACACACAAACACACACAAACACACGCACAACACACACAAACTCACACACACAAACACACACCAAATACACACACAAACACACACAGACGCACACACACACACACAAACATACACATAAACACACACAAACTCACACAAACACACACACAAACACACAAAAAAACACGTAAACACCCTTAGCTTGTTATTATAAGTCATGATAATGATCAATTGCTTCCGCTGTATGCTTTTTAGCTTTTTTGAGGAAGGATGTGGCGTCAGAAACAAAAACGCAGCAGCGTTTCATGTGAGAGGTGAACATGGAAAGCCCTGTGCGATTAAGGATCCTAGCACTGCAACTGCACTGCTCTTATACCAAGTGGAGCATTAACATAGTCAAACTATATTTTTTCGAAAGAGCGTTCTGTAAATAAGAACTGCAGTTTTAGGATTATTAGCATTCATCAGTGCTTCAGCAAAATATAACTGATCTCGAATGGCCACCTGGACTAAAAAGGCATTACTTGTAGGAAGTTATTGACGAGAAATTGTTTTTGTAAACACTCTTCAGTATATTATCGACAATTCTCATCATTTTCACCACCGTAGGCAAACTGAGCAGTATGCCAAGATACGGATCCCTGACAATTGCAAATACTATGTCGTGCTTCAGCTGATGACTTGTCCTCTACACACTCGTTCGATGGGAGACTGCGCTGCACTAATAGTCTGTCCATATTCATTAGCGCATCACATATCACCAGCAGCTTTCCCCGATCACCTGAAGTCATGTCGATTAGAATACCTAAAAAAGAATGAGCAACAAATAAAAATAGTCAGGTAAGAAGATGTTGTTCAGGTCAGACTGTCTTTGCAACTGATCAGCAGAGTTTAGATGCAGTGTTGATCGGCGCCATATAGTACCAGAAGTGGAGCTAGCTTTCCATGAAAAACACTGTGGTGATGCATATTTTCGACAGATTAATGCTGAACTAGGCAAGTTTTACACACTATTTGTCAAAATCTCTTCTCGCCTTACAGTTGAAACATCAAGTAGTAGTGAATCCAATGAAAGCGGTGACAGTGGTACACAAACTAGTCGCTCTGCCACCTCAACATCTCGCACTTCTTCATCATCCCTAATGGAAAAAGAAGAGCTTTTTCGAATGAATCACCATCTGGATGTTTAAATCGAATGAAGATACCACTGTGATGATCCAAATTCTGAGTTTTATTGAAAAAAAGCATACAGTTTTCCATCATTGAATATAATAAAGGTTTGGAGCGTTGTTGGCACTCAGTAGTACGATTCACGTTTAAAACCGACGCACAAGGATTTGTAGTTGTTGAACCTGAAGCTACATGCATTAACAAGTGACACTGACAGATTCTTCCAACTTATCATTTCCATACTTTTACAGTGATGCCTCAAGCAGAATGGTGACTGACCCACTAATGCCGTTGGACCATCGCAGCGTCACTTGTCCGTACAATTTGAATCATAGTGTCGATCCAACCATTTTCGCAGATCATCTGCGAGCGTGCAGACTGAGGTACTGTCGTCAAAATGCACAAAAGTTAAAGCTGATTAGGTATGTTCCAGAATTAGTAACAAGTTTGCAGATAGTTGTACACTTTCACGTATGTACTAGTAATCGAAGAACTCATCGCGTTTATTTAATGAGTTCTTTCTTCTTATCTCACTAGAGCCTTACTACATTTGGCTCACAAAATTAACGTTCGTCAAATCAGCTGTATAACATTAAAGTTTGTATTTAGCGTGGTTCTGCGAGATATGCAATCAAAGTGTGTAAGTAGCTTGGACTTCTTGTGTAACAAGAAGTACGAGGGGTAAATTGGGACAGTGTTCCATTGCCTGTTTATTTCAGCACATGATCTTCCAATCAGCACGACTATTATTGAGTACCAGTCTTCACCTCTACTTTGCAGAGGCTCACACTGGCTCTACTGACTAGGCCCTACTCATTTTCCCATAGTGATGGCATTGAAGCTCATCAAGCAATGCCGAGTATCACGAACAAAATGTAAACAACTACTCAATCCGAAAGCTTTTTCATGTGAAATCGGTTATTTTGTGTGGATGAAACTTTTTTGCAGGAGAACAAACGCAAATTTTTATAGGTTTTCGATTTTTCCATGGTCTTGACAGTCGTCGTAAGAACAGTAGTCACCGTGAGCTACATTTTTGTGCAAAAATCTCGTCAAATGCTCTGGTAAAACCTTGACAAATTGACCATTTACGCAAACAACACTTTTGGCGCCGTTTTTGTAAAGCAATGGGCTTTTGATTACTTTTTTTGGGCCTAAGTTCGTGGCTTGCACACTTACTTGCCATAAACATCAACCACTCTGCAAAAATTGTATAAATTATAAATTATAGTACGGACCCTATTTTGTTGGCCTGCAAAGTGGATCCGATAGACGCGCAATTACTAAGAGACCCACTCAACAATTTACTTGTGCTTTTGCATGTTGAACTTTCATGCCAGTAACAAATGCTATGCAAATTTGAGCTCATGACGTTGGCTGGAACACGCTCTACGAATTTCGTGACAGACAGACTTTCAGACAGACACACAAAAACACGTAAACATTAGCACGTTATTATAGTAGGATGCTGCGCACAGACTTGTTTCTAAAAACAACTAAGATTTTTTACAACACATTTGTTGTCTAAGCTATGCGGTTTGTAATGTATCTGCCCCCTACTCACTTGCTAGCAACCCATAGCGTCGCTAGTCTAAGGCCCGTATGCACGTATATCCCCGCTGGAGAGGGGGGGGGGGAATCTTAGAGGGGATGCGTCATATCTCGCTACTCTAGGTATCTTTCTTCTTCCTTCTTTATCGTGCTTATGAAGGTTTTCATACCTTTATAGCTGCGCATAATTGATGCCAGGTTACTGGTATAATTGATTAGATTTTCACTATTTTGTGTAATCCCCTGGGGATCACCTCTCAATTTCAATGCCATTTATCTTCCCAAAAACTATATGAAACGCTGTAAAATTGTACAGTGGATATGCTACGGCACTGCTAAAGTTTATAGTAGAAATAAGTAAAATCTCAGGATATCGAAATCTTCCGCAGTCCCCAGCTCGAAAGGAAGGGATCATCGAAAAATTCACAATCTTCAGATTCCATTTCTCCTGTCGAAAGCATGCTTAGCAGTGCCGTAGTATGTCCTCAGTACAATTTTACAGCGTTTTTATTGACTTCTCAGAAAGATAAACCACTTTGAACATAAGAGGTGATCCCCAGGGGATCCCCTGGAAGTTTTCTGGGGATCACACAAAATGGCAAAAAACCATCTTCTGTGGATCACACAAAATGGCAAAAAACCATCTTCTGTGGATCACACAAAATGGCAAAAAACCAATCTTGTGTGGAAGTAACCTGGTATTTATTATGCGCAGGTATAAGTGTATTAGAGCCTTTATAAGCAAGATAGAGAAAGAAGAAGAAAGATACATAGAGTAGCGAAATATGGGGTATCCCCTCTCATATCCACTCCGCTCCCCAGCGGGGATGTACATGCATACGGGCCTAAGCTCCGTATGCTCGCAATCCTCGCGGGAAGGGAAGGGGATTTGAAAGGAGACCCGTCATAACTCGTTACTACATACAGGGTGCGCCACAATTATTTGCGCGTGTTTCATTAAGCGCCATACGAATATAAGACCGGCTCAGCCAGCGGTCAAGCTTGATATTGTTTTCTTGATTCACTAATATTGTAGCTTAGTTGAAAAATGTGAAATTGCCTATTCTGCTTTTCGGTAAAAATTCATAATATTTTTTTGGCTTTGTCGCGTGCTGCACGCGGACAGAGGCTCACAAATTTGCCCAGCATGTATCTTTTTAGTGACCGCTTCTCTCAAGCGAAGATTTCGCTGTATAATAGAGCTAGTTTTAAACTTTAAGATCACTGAGGTTTGGAATCTTTACACCATTCAAAACAAAAGTTTTGACTATTTAATAATTTGCGTCAGCTTGCGTTTTCTCTGTCATAAACATTGCTTTTTGCAGTTCTTACTTCTCTAAATAAAGACCGATTTGGGATCTTGATAGTGCTTTTTGTAGAATGCTTACGGCATTCTGTGACATTGAATCCAGACCAAATTTCTCATTGCCATTGTTGTGGCATTACTTTAAATATTTTGACGCAAATAATTTTGGCGCACCCTGTACATCTGGCTATTCTTCTTCTATAGACTTTGCAAAGGTTCATACCCTGATACTTGAGCATAAGGATGACGAGCATTGCCATACAAACTAAGTTTTTACAGTTTCTTGTGAGTCCCTAGGTAACACCTCACATCTTCAAACATACATCCTGGTATCAACCCAACATGCTGTAAAAATGCACCGATAATATATGGCACTGCTAAACATGTTTGAGGTATACTACTCGGTAGTTTCGCTGCCTCGTGCATCTTTCGCTCTACCCTGTATTGTGCAAATGTAAGAATTTGCTATTGAGTTTGTTGGTTTTGCACAAAACTTTTCGGTTTAACCTACGTCTCAGATAATCGCCGGGAGCAAGCGGTCCGCAACGCGCTTTTCTGCAGGCAGTTAGCAAAATTTTGGGGCGTAGTTAAACCTTCAGCGAGCGGTATCCGTGTTCTGCCAACGATCTGCAATACAAAATTTCTGCAGGCGCTCGGACTCCTTTTATGCGGTCTCGGGCGTACGCCGAGCAAAGGTGAGACTCTATGTGGTAAAGTTGTCATCGATGGCTTAAATACCCGAGTTTGGGGTACTTTCTCACAAAGGAAAGTACCTACGGGCTGTGCGATTTTTTACAAAGGACCGTGCGGCCCTCAATAATTTTGCACATTCTCGTGGAAAGTCCGCGAAAATGCGGCCAATGCGCCACAGCTAATCTCTGAAAAAGCCGCAATTGTTCTTCGAGCATTCGCCTAGAAGTTGGCCAACATAATTCCAGATTTCTGCAAGCGGACCGCAAGAAATCAGCGAACTTTTTTTTCGATGCCCGCTGCCCAAAAATCGCATGGCCGCCTGCCAGGCAGTTACCTGAAGTAGACGGAGGGTTATCGAGGACACAATTGGCCTTTCAATCGAGAGTCAATATTGTGAGCAACAGGCAATGCGCAGTCAACAACATAGAAAGGCTGAATGTGTCCCATGCTGTAAGTTTTCTTTTGCTTAGGCTTTTCTCGGGCTAAGATTAGAAGGTTTCCACCTCTTATTTCTCTCCTATCTTCAGGTAAAAATGTTTTTTCTGTTTACAAGTGAGATGAGAAGCGTCAACAGAGCGCGCGTTGGCGCGCGATGCGTATGCGCCGCGGAGGTACCTACGGGAAGCTGGCCGGGGCTCCCACTATACAGTACGTGACAAAGCGTCATGGTATGAATATAAAAGGTAGGTGGGATATAAGGGTGGTGATTGTCATTGTGTTGATATGGTGGTCATATTCGATCTTGTGAACAAGTGACATTTCTGACTTTGTCGATAAACTTAGCCGGTCAATGAATCCCGCTGAGAAAGGAGTTAATGCTTAGTCAAATCTCAGTCAGTTATCGAGAATGTTAGATAGAAAAAAAAATAATGAATAGATAGAGAAAGTCACAAATTGAAATAATAGATATTGGACTCGTAATAGCTATGCCTTATCCTTTCCTTCTCGCAATTTTTAGCCCCAAATGTTCGAAGTAAAAAAAATTGGTAAATCGATTAGCCTGAATTGGTGAAAATAGCTTATTAACAAAAGACCTGTTTGAAAATTTATGTATGCGCTTTAGTTCAGATCTCAGAGATTTTTTTCTGGCATTCTGAGCCAGTCATAACAACGCCGGAAGCCAATGAATCGAAAGCGACACTAGATTTTTTTTTTGATAAAAGCTTAGTGACATCTGTCCGCCCCGAATCATGCTCAGGGACTCACGCCGTGCGGGCGCCCAGCGACGATGCAACTACTTTGGTGTGTGCGATTTTACGGTCGTCAAGGGCCGGTGTTACGGTTAACGTGGGTTCACCCGAACGGCTTTTAATGCTCGCCGCTTGCGCAGGAAGGTCGGCTGTTTGCCTGCTGTTGGGGTAATTTTGTGTGGGCTATCCTAACCAATTTTGAATATGTTAATCATCACATTCTGGAAACGTGGATCGATGCCTACAGCATTAGTCAAACCTTTCGTAGGAAGCTCACACC